GGGGGGGGGGGGGAGGGATTCCAGCAGGGGGGGTGGGGGGGGGAGGGGGGGGATTTTCGGAGGGGGGGGGGAGACCCCTGGGTTCCGGAGGAAAAGGTTGGCAATTTTCCACAGTAAAGCGGCGGTGGATCACGCTCTCTCACATGTTTGGATTCAGGGTTTCCGGAGCCCGCCATATGAATAGTACCCTCCTCTTTCCTCTGATACTGCCCAGTGTGGAGGGCCATTGTCCCGAGTACCGCCTTTCGCCAGCAGGAAATCGGACACAGATATCATATGTTGTTTGTTTCTTCGGTCGGACTGCTTTCGATTCTTCGAAAGTGCTGCGCCCGCTGCAGCGTTGGCAACATTTCAGGATCGACGCTTTGCTCCGTTGCTCAGACTGGCGCTCTCACCCCAGCGCCGGACACATGTTGGATCCGATTACTTCCTCGTCGTTGTCGCCCTTGCTCCCCCTGCTCCTGCTGCTGCTCGTCATCCTACTCCTGCTGGTCCTCATCCTTATTCGCGTTCCTCATCATCTTCCTGTTTGTCCCGGTCAGCTGCAACTACCACCACCACAACTTCTCCTCCTCCTCCTCCTCCTCCTCCTCCTCCTCCTCCTCCTCCTCCTCCTCCTCCTCCTCCTCCAGTGTACAAAGCCCCCCCTCCTGTTCTATTTTTCGCATCGCACGATAGTGACCGAGGATTTCTAGGACACCCCAGTCGCCAGATACAGTACACGCCCGCGCCGTTGGAAGGGATGGGTGCGCGGGTGGGATGCGAGAGATGGCGCGAGCGCGCCTATAGCTTGCGCCCTTCCCTTCGCCACTCTCCGTCGGAGCTCAGTCTCCAGCAGTCGTGTGGAATGGTCTCGAGGGTCCTCTGCGCAGGAGCCCGAAGGGCACACGAACCCAGGCCGTGCCCGCAGGCGCCGACAGCCGACCCCATGGACTGCGCGCGTGGCAGGCAGTCCCTACTCATACCAGACGGAGGCCTCCCTGCATCCGTGTACTACGCACCCCCCCCCAAGAATCATGGTGGGCCACTCCAGCCGCGGATTCTTCATGCTGCCTATGCTGGTTAACGTGCGTTCCACCCAGCGAGCAGGCCGCGTGGCTTGGTATCTGTGGCAAGAGGGCGCGTTTTGCAACGTCGTGGGCGCCGCGGTTAGTCGGTCGCCACTGGTACCCTAGAAGAGACAGGACACGGGCCACACGTCAAGGCGCGTGTTTCCTTACTCTGCTCCCTCGCCTCACTTCCCTCTCCTGCAGCGTCCTCCCTCACCTCTCAATGCCCTCCGCTCCCCCCCCCAATCCTAGGATGCAACGCCTGGGAGATTCAAGTCAGCATCCGCGCTGGTATGTCCGTGGCCGAGATCCGGCACAATCCTGCATAATCTGGCTGGATCCCATGAAATCTGGGCAACACCCAGGCTCAGTCCGGATTAATCTGGGAAGGATGGCCCCGAAATCTGGCTCTACTGCCAGTGATCCGTGCTTGGTATCGCTCGGACGCGTCTTCTTCTCGGCGGTGATTACTACGGAGCATCCTGGATCATCCTGCGAAAAAGCCACGCACGAAGCCAACAAAAAGCACAGGGAATGGATGTCCGAGCGACGGGGAGCGTGGGCCTCGTCCGGGTGCGGCCTGGCTCGGGCCCCGAGGCGAACCCAGCGGCAGCGACGCGGGCCCGCCAAGGTGCCGAGCGAAGCCGCAGAAGCGAGGCAGGGGCAGCGGCGTGGGCGCTGTTCCCTCCTGCGAGTCCTGCGCCCCTTCGCCTCCGCCGCCCTCGTGGCCGCCTCGGGCACCCCAGGGGGGGGCCCTTCCCCGTCGGGGGCTTGCCCTGGGGGCCCGAGGGGCCTTCCCCCTCTGCATGCGGCCAGGTTGTAGACACAGAGGGACGCTTTCGCGGCCCTCCGTGCAGTCGCAGGGATGTGTCTTGTTTGTGCTATGAGTTTGCCAGGGCAGGCTTTCGTCTCTCGAGCTTGAGATCGCACCCAGCGTTGCCGTTCCGCTCCGCATGCGATGACACACGCATGATCCCCACGTCTTAAGATAGGGCTCTAGTTGTTACTTAGACGTCTCCGGGCCTCCTCGTTCTTTTGCCCCTTGTTATCATCATCATCATCATCATCATCATCATCATCATCATCATCATCATCATCATCATCATCATCATCAGCATCATCATCATCATCATCTTTTCTTCACTCCCATATCATGCAAATAGTCGTACTCAGATCACTTAAATTCATTTCGGGGTCCATCAAAGACTCACTTCTCTACACGGGGCCTATCACAGACTCACTCTTCCCCACGCAGCCTGAGCCACATCTCTTTCTCATTCAGATTTACAAGCTCCCCGTTTTAACACATATTCAGTCAGAGACACTCAGAGGATTAGCGTCAAACGCATTCTCTCTCATACACATTCACATCACAGACTCACGATTCCTCACGCGGGCTCCTTCACATGACTTCCTCACTCAGGTTCGCTCAGGCTCAGACTCACTCAGAT